ATGCCTGCCATCCCAGCACTTTGGGAGGCTGAGGTTGGCTCACCTGAGGTTTAGAGTTCAAGACTAGCTTGGCCAACATAGTGAAACATTGTCTCTACTAAAAATACAAAAATTACCCAGGCATGCTTGTACACACCTGTAATCCCAGCTACTCAGGAGGCTGAGACAGGAGAATCACTTGAACCTGGGAGGCAGAGGTTGCAGTGAGCCGAGATGGTGCCACTGGATTCCAGCCTGGGTGAAGGAATGAGACTCTGTCTCAAAAACAAAAAAAAGGAAAAAAGCTGGGCACAGTGGCTCACATTTGTAATCCCAGCACTTTGGGAGGCTGAGGCGGGTAGATCACAAGGTCAGGAGATCGAGACCATCCTGTCCCAGCCAACATGGTGAAACCCCATCTCTACTAAACACAAAAAATTATCCGGGCATGGTGGTGCATGCCTGTAGTCCCAGCTACGCAGGAGGCTAAGGCAGGGGAATCACTTGAACCTGAGAGGCAGAGATTGCAGTGAGCCTAGATCACACCACTTCACTCCAGCCTGAGCGACAGAGCCAGAGGAAGACTCTGTCTCAAAAAAAAAAAAAAAAAAAAAAAAAAACCTGTTTTTGCAGCCATATGGATGCAGCTGGAGGCTATTATCACAAGGAAACTAATGCAGAAAGAGAAAATGAATACCACATGTTCTTACTTTTAAGTGGGAGTTAAACACTGAATACACATGGACAAAAAGATGGGAAGAATACACTGGAGACTGATTGAGGGGGATGGTGAGAGGGGCTTGTGGGTTGGAATGCTTCCTGTTGCGTGCTATGCTCACTAGCTGGGTGATAGAATCATTTGTACACCAAGCTTCAGCAACATATGATTTGCCCATGTAACAAACATGCATGTGTACTCCTTGAATCTAAAAGAAAAGTTGAAAAAAAATACAGTAGCCATTAATACAAGGTTTCTTTTTTAATCTTTTTGCTCTTATAATAAGATAGATAATTATTACTTCTGTACATGTAATATATGTGACAAATATTTGGAAACATTTTGAAATGCTATTTATTTTATAGGTCAAAAAATCAATTCTATGGATGACCTTGATGACTTGACTTGGTCATCAGAAAGAGCCTCAAAGCGTTGTGACTTGCCTTACTGTAATTATAAGAAGTTAATGTTGCTCTTTCAACACCTTGGAACGCATTGTAAAGATAGGACCATTGGACAGATACAATTGATATATCCTGTAGCTCAACACTGCACCTTAGAGCACTGCTGTGTTATGATGATGTTCATCTCAGAAATATGCCTTAGGTTAAAACATAATGAGAACGATCATGTGTTGTCCACTCTCAGTCAGAGAGCTATGATAATTCCTCTGTCTGAATGGCACTCCCAGTGTTGTATTTTCACTCGGCTTCTCTCTTATGCCTTTGCCCGAGGACAGGTTACTATTATCTCCCACCTGGAATATTACAATGACCTTAGAACTGTTTTTCTTATTACTACCTCCTGAAAATATGGTCTGCTCTGCAACCATAATTATATATTTTAAAAAATCCAAATATTATCATGTTACCCTCTTGCTTACAACCCAGCTATTACTTCTCATTGTGGTAAGGATAAGGATCTCAATCCTCCAGCATCATCCTTCATCTTCATACCCTTCTTTCTCTCTGTGTCCCAGCCATTGTCTTAGATATTTGGGCCTGCTCTCAGAAGTTTTAGTGAGGTATAATTTTTTTTTTTTTTGAGGCAATGTCTCTCTCTGTCTCCCAGGATGGAGTGCAATGGTGTGATCTTGGCTCACTGCAACCTCCACCTCTTGGGTTCAAGTGATTCTCCTGCTTCAGCCTCCTGAGTAGCTGGTACTACTGGTGCACACCACCATGCCTGGCTAATTTTTGTATTTTTAGTAGAGATGGGGTTTCACCATGTTGGCCAGGCTGGTTTCAAACTCCGGACTTAAGGTGATCTTCCCACCTTTGCCTTCCAAAGAGCTGGGACTACAGGTGTGAGCCACTGCTCCCGGCCTGTATCCTAACTGATATGTAATACAGTGCACATATGTAAAATGTACAATTGAGAGGTTTGGACATATGTACACACATGTGAGGTCATCACCATAATCAAGATAGTTACATATCCATCACTCATTGCAGTCTCCTCATGCCGTTTTATATTCCCTTATTAAAAAATTGCTGAAATGTTTTTCAGAGTATTTGTACCATTCTGCAGCTTGTCAGCAGTATATGTCAGTTCCAATTGCTTCATATTATTACATACACTGAGTATTGTGCTTTCTTCATTTTTAGTCACTCTGATGGGTATGTATTGGGTATAACATTATGTTTGTAATGTGCATTACCCTAATATTGTTGAGTATCTTTTAATGGGCTTATCTGCCATCTATAACTATGAAGAACTGCTTTTTCAAATCTTTTGCCATTTGAAATATTAGATTGTCATTTTTTCTTCTTTTTTTTTTTTTGAGATGGGGTCTCACTCTGTTGCCTAGGCTGGAGTGTTGTGGCGCGATCTCAGCTCACTGCAACCTCTGCCTCCTAGGTTCAAGTGATTCTTCTGCCTCAGCCTCCTGAGCAGCTGGGATTATAGGCGTGCACCACCATGCCTGGCTAACTTTTTTCGTATTTTTAGTAGAGATGGAGTTTCACCATGTTGGCTAGGCTGGTATCAAACTTCTGACCTCATGACACCCACCTTGGCTTCCCAAAGTGTTGGGATTAGAGGCGTGAGACACTGCACCCTGCTTAGATTGTTGTTTTCTTATTTGTTGAGTTTCAAGAGTTCTTTATGTATTCTGGATACTATTTCTTGATTTGCTATGTTTATTGCAAAAATTAGTTTGTGGCTTGCTTTTTTAATTTTAATTTTTAGTTCTGGGTTACATGTGCAGGTTTGTTACATAGGTAAATGTGTGCCATGGTGGTTTGCTGCACCTGTCGACCCATCACCTAGATATTACACCCAGCATGCATTAGTTATTTTCCTAATGCTCTCCCACCCACCACTCTAACTTCTGACAGGCCCCAGTTAGTGTTGTTCCCCTTCCTGAGTTCATGTATTTTCATTGTTCAGCTCCCACTTTTATGTGAGAACATGCAGTGTTTAGTTTTCTGTTCCTACATTGGTTTGCTGTGGATAATGGCTTCCAGCTTCTTTCATGTCCCTGCAAAGGACATGATCTCATTCCTTTTTACAGCTACATAGTATTCCATGGTGTATATGTACTTCATTTTCTTTATCCAGTCTATCATTGATAGGCATTTAGGTTAATTCCTTGTCTTTGCTATTGTGAATAGTGCTGCAGCAAACATACAGGTATACATATTTTTGTAATAGAATGATTTGTAATCCTTTGGGTATATACCCAGTAATGGGATTGCTGGGTCAAATGGTATTTCTGGTTCTACATCTTTGAGGAAATTTTCATCAGAGTGAACAAGGCAGCCTACAAAATGGGAGAAATTTTTTGCAATCAATCCATCTGACAAAGGTCTAATATCCAGAATCTGCAAGGAACTCAAAGAAATGTACAAGAAAAAAAACCCAGCTCCATTAAAAAGTGGGGAAAGGACATGAGCAGACACTTCTCCAAAGAAGGCATTCATGCAGCCAATAAACAAAAAGCTCAACATCACTGTGCAAATCAAAGCCACAATGAGATACCATCACATGCCAGTCAGAATGGCAATCATTAAAAAGTCAAGAAACAACAGATGTTGATGAGGTTGTGGAGAAAGAGGAATGCTTTTACACTGTTGATGGAAATGCAAATTAGTTCAACCATGTAGAAGTGGCTTTAAAAAAATTCTTTTAATAGTATCTTTTCAAGAGCAGAAGTTTTTAATTTTGATAAGGACTAATTTATCTGTTTGTTCAATAATGGACTTTGCTTTTTATGTAATATCTAAGAAATATTTTTAGATATTTCTTAATATTTTTAGATATTTTAAATTTCTTAAAATTTCTTAATATTTTTAGATATTTCTTTAAATATTTTTAGATATCACAAGGTCACAAAGATTTTCTCCTATGCTCTCTTCTAGAAGTTTTATTGTTTTAGGCCTTACATCTAGATCTATGATTGATCCATTTTGAGTCCATTGTTGCATATAGAATTCATTTTTGTGGATGGATAGATTCAAGTTTATTTTTCAAACATGGATATCCATTTGCTCCAGCACCATGTGCTGAAAAGGCTATCCTTTCTTCACTTCATTGCCATCGTTCCTTTCTCAAAAGTAAGTTGACTTTCACTTTGGGAGGCCGAGATGGGCAGATCATCTGAGGTTGGGAGTTTGAGACCAGCCTGGCCAACATAGTGAAATCCCATCTCTACTAAAAATACAAAAATTAGCCTGTAATTTTTGTGGTGTTGGCGCATGCCTGTAATTCCAACAACTTGAGAGGCTGAGGTGTGAGAACTGCTTGTACCTGGGAGGCAGAGCTTGCAGTGAGCCAAGATCGCATGACTGCACTACAGCCAGGACAACAGAATGAGACTCTACCTTAAAAAAAAAAAAAAAAAAAAAAAAAAAAAAAAGTTGTCTTTATATGTGTGGGACTCTTTCTGGACTCTCTATTGCATCATATGAACATATATATGCTCCTTGAATTACGGTAGGGTTACATCCTCATAAACCCATCAGAAGTTGAAAATTCATGTAATACCCTGATAAACCTACCAGAAAGGTGAAAAATCTTCAGTTGAATCATCTGAAGTTGGGGACCATCAGCATTTGGCTTTCTTTATACAGGGACAGCATCTTCAACAGAAAATTCCAAAATCTGAAACTCTTTGAGTTCCAACATGATGCCACAATGGAAAATTTCACACCTGACCTCATGTACACAAACTTTGTTTCATGTACAAAATTATTAATAGTATTCAAGCCATTTGTATAATGTGCACATGAAACATAAATGTATTTTGTATTTACACTTGGGTCTCATCCCCAACATATCGCCTCATGTATATGCAAACTTTCAAAATCTGAAAACATCCAAAATTCAACACACTTTTGGTCCCAAGTGTTTTGGATAGGGATACTCAACCTGTACCAGTATCATGCTGTTTTGATTACTACAGGTTTATAATAATTCTTGAACCCTCCAATTTTGTTCTTTTTTTTCAGTGTTATTTGGGCTATCACTGATTCTCTACATTTCCATCTGAATTTTAAAATCAGCTTGTCAATTAAAAAAAAGGTCCCACTGGCTACATTGGGATTGTCTTGGACCTATAGATTAATTTGGGAGAAAATTGATGATAATAAATTTTTCACTCCAGAAAAAGTTTCTCTCTCCATTTACGTAGTATTTAATTTTCTCAGTAATATTTTGTTAACTTTTAGTATGTAGGTCTTTCCTTATTTTATTAGATTTATCTGTATTTCTTTTTTATGGAATTATAAATGATATTATAAAATTTTTAATTCAATTGTTTATTTTATTTATTTATTTTTTTCAGTGGAGATGGGATTTCACCATGTTGGCCAGGCTGGTTTTCAACTCCTGACCTCAAGCCGTCTACCTGCCTCGGCTTTCCAAAATGCTGGGATTACAGTCATAAGCCACTGTGCCTGGCCTATTATTTTCTTCACTGGCTTTGAAACTCTTCTTGTCAGCCCTTTCAGATCCACCAGGCTTTGACTTACAGTCTCTTGGAAGCCCTTTTGATTTTCATTCTCATTCTTCTCTAGGTCTTTTCAGCTTCCACCTACCTGCTCGTTCAAAGGCATCCTACATATTTGAGTAGTTTGTATTATTATTACTATTATTATTATTTTAATGGCAGCAACCCATATTGAGTATCAATATATTTATCAGTTATCTATTGCTGTGTAATAAACTACCTGAAAATTCAGTGTCTCAAAATAACATTTATTTTCTTCAGGATCATCATGGAACCAGGAAAAGAAAAAAAATTGTGATTGAGAAATTATACCATACTCCTGAATTCTTCTTAAATTACATTCAGTTTTTTAAAAATTTAAAATAATTCTGTTAATCTTTGGATGATCAGATTACATGAGTACTAATGTAAGAATGATTCAGATGTTTATAATGTAGGTTAAATGATCTATGTAGTTGATGTTGATAAACATCTTCAACTTCTTTTTTTAACATGCTTGGAAGTGCTCTTGGGATCACTGACTGAAAGCTAAAAGAAACAAATATACAATAATTATTCAGGTTATAATTATTTTTAAAATGTATCCTTTTAGTTTGTCTTAGACACAGGCAGTATCAAAAGAAAAGTTAAGAACCATTAAGAAAGGATAATATTGCTTCAATAAGATGGCAGATGGAACTCAGGATTTAAAATCTGGAATCCAAACTCTCCAGAATGAAAACTCAAGGAGATTTTCATAAAGCCGAACTAGGCAAATATCAGCAATTTTATTTAGAAAAATTAAAAGTTAGACAATCTTTGCCAAATGAACTAAAACAAGTAAGTCAAAATAGAGAAGCACAGCTTGTAGCGAGACACGTTCATGAGATTAGTGGGAAGTGAAAGCTAATGTTGGACAATTATGTCCTTAAATGAACTTACCTTTCACATATTAGTCCAGGACAGCTTATGTCTCTCCCCTAGATTTGGGTTTTGGACGTTTTTTTTTTCCCCTTACATTCTTATGCAGTTTATCTGATCTACTAGTCTTTAAGCTAAGTATTTTTTGAGGCTTTATAATTTAGACAGTGTTACTGTTACAAAATTGCATATAAGAATTCCCCAAAATACAAATAATGATTTTAACTTTTTTTTTTTTTTTTTTTTTACATGATTACAACTTACACTGGGAGGATCTCATACTACCAATACTCTTGGCACATCTTGGCGCTCAGTGTTCCCTGTCCTTGACTGTGGTCTTTGGTATTATCACTAGAGGGCGCCTTGAGACAAGTTATCCTATTAGTTTCCCAGTCTATGTAAACTCATACTTGTGAAATAGAAAAAGATTAATACAGGGGTGAAGGGAAGAATAATTCACCAAGTGGTGAAAAGTAACACCTTGGTCATCCTGAGAGGCTGTGTGTAAGACACAAAGGGTAGGTCCCACCTCCAGTGCCTTGGTCACAAACAGGAGGGAATTGACTTAGGACCTGTTTTAGTTCTCTCATCACCAACTCAGCCATTCTCCATAGGAGTTGTTGCTCTGAATGCTTCCTCAGTGCTAAATGCATAACTTTACTCACCTAATAGGTGAAATGTACAAGCATGGTGAAAGCAAATGCTTGAAAATATCTTTGAGGGAATGGTTTTAAAAAAAATCTCTAAACTGGTTTACTAAATACAAATATTTTTAGCTTTTTAAAACAATTTTATTGTGTGTATTTGAGTACTACATGATGTTGTGATGTATTTATAGAGAGTGAGATGGTTCCTATAGTCAAGCAAACTAACATACTCATCGTCTCACATAGTTATCCTTTAAATACAAGTACTTCCAACGGAGGGCCATTCCAGAAGGTAGCAAATGTTACCTGTTAAGCCATATATTATTCATAGCCATTCCTCTCCCCTCCCCACTTTGTTTGAATTACCTGTTTGTTAGAAATCCCCTAGAAACACATGTCCTTCTTTAGACCAATTTAAAAACTGTAATTGCATACAATAAGCATACTCTCACACATTTTCAGAGTTAAAACACTTTATGGGAATTCCATTTACAATGATGGCAACTTCTTTTTAAAACATGCAAGTCATTGAGGGATCATTTTGGAAAACATGAAACATTAAGCATTTGTCTTTTATACTCTTCATGGAACTCAGGAGAGGCTAGCAGAAGTTAGTTATGATCTGGAGAAAGAGCAGACCAGATCTTTATTTACTGTTCACACTATTGGCCAGTCCTATCATTACCTTTTGCTGGAAATCTTAATAATAATTAGGTCTCAACAGAAATCATAGCAAACCAACCACCCGACAATAATTCAAAAGAAAAAAAGAAATCATATTCCAAGAGAAAACTTAAAGATCCCATCTCAAGCTCATGAACTTTAAATAACAGCACAGAGAAATACTTGTCTAAGGTTAGTTATATTATTTTTTGGCCTTTGGCTTTCAGATTTCTGATATAATTCCTGTATTCTATTTTTATTGAGTTATTTAATTAACTTATGCATGTCAAGTAGAGGTCAGAATTATCTGTTTTAGATAACATAATTATTAACATAAAGATAAAATCATCTTTATTATGTTAATAAAGATAATTGTTAACATAAAGATAACAATTATCTTTATTATGCTAATGAAGAGAGGACACATTTTAAATTTATTTAAAACCTGCATTTAAATTAGATTTTGGAAATGGAATATTATTGCCTAATAACTAAAGGTATGTTTTGAGATACTTTAGTTTAGTTTCTAACTGATTTTAATTTGGCTGTGGTTCATTGCACTTTTAAAGCTTTCTGCTCGTAATCATGTGTGAATGATTGGTATCCAAACACTTAACCAAATATGGATGATTCTTATTTAAAGGAATGCAAGGTAAACACTTATTATAAGTTAAATAAATGTGTGACATTAAAAAACATTCATTTATCTTTAAGGTAAAAGTTTTGTGATTTTCTAATATAAGAAATCCTTAATTGCTATTGTATTTACAACAGTTTGTCTCAATTTTTGTAAAATGTGTCTATTGATAGACAACAGCTTTAAATAGTTGAATCAAGCAAATGTTTGAATTTTTGTTTGTGTTCTTTTGAGATGGAGTTTTGCTTTTGTTGCCCAGGATAGAGTGCAGTGGCACAATCTCAGCTCACTGCAATTTCTGCCTCCAGGGTTCAAGCAAATCTCCTGCCTAAGCCTCTGGAGTATCTGGGATTACAGGTGCCTTCCACAACGCTTAGCTACTTTTTGTATTTTTAGTAGAGACGAGGCTTCACCATGTTCGCCAGGCTGACTCAACTCTTGACCTCAGGTAATCTGCCCTCCTAGGCTTCCCAAAGTGCTGGGTTGTGGACAGATCAGAGGACTTTCCTATATTTTATATTAAAAAGTATATTATATATAATATATACATTTATATTATAAAACAAAAAAAAGAAATCTAAGAGAATGAACATGTGGCAGAAAGACATTCACTCCAAAGAGAAAATGTATTCCCAGAGTACATTTGTAGCTTATGTACCATTAGCATTTGAGCCAGTGGTAGTTTGACAAAGCTTTGTAGAGGTACAGAATCAAAGGAAAGAAAGTTGTTAAAGAACTATGTACTTTGCTGTGCTGATATTTCGTTAAGTTAAATAAACAAAGCAGTTGCAAGACTGTAAGTTTATTAAGGAGGAAAAGAATAATTGTAGAATTACAATTTCAGTGGAAAACAGATTCAGCAAAATCTCATCAAATCTAAATGAACACGCTTTGAAAACAACTTTGAGCTAGGATTCCAATGGTTTTACCTATTTATTTATTTCCAGCAAGCAACCATGTTGGAAAGAGAAAAAAATAACTGGATTAGAAGTTTTGGAACTGGATGCTGAATCTAGAACTGAAATAGGAAGTTTAGGTTCCAATGTCCTGGAATAACTTTGGGAAGGTTAACCTTTTTAAAACTATTTTATCATCTGTTAAATGTATGCTACCCACACCTTACAGCTCTTCTGTAGATTAAACAGGGTAATGTATGCTGCATCATATAACTGTACAACGTAAAGCCCTTTCCATCTATCCATCCGTCCATCCATCCATCCATCCACCCTTTATTTACTCATTCTATCATGTATTAATCCTTAATTAAATGCCTTTACATGTAGTAATAAAAAAAGTATATTATATATAATATATATCATTTATATTATAAAACAAATATATATTTATTACATATTTATATATAAAAACATATATATTTATGTAAATAAATGCACACACACACACACACACACACACACATATGTATCTGTTGCCCAGGCTGGAATGCAGTGGGGCAATCGTGACTCACTGCAACCTCTGCCTCCTGAGTTCAAGCAATTCTCCTGCCTCAGCCTCCCTAGTATCTAGGATTACTGACTGGCATGTGCCACTAAGCCCAGTTAATTTTTATATTTTTCGTAGAGACGGAATTTCACCATGTTGGCCAGGCTGGTCTCGACCTCCTGACTTCAGGTGATCTGCCCACCTTGGTCTCCCAAAGTGCTGGGATTGCAGGCATAAGCCACGATACCTGGCCAGCTAGCATAATATATACATATTTTGAGACGGAATCTTGCTGTCACCCAGGCTGGAATGTAGTGGCGCGATCTCTGCTTACTGCAATCTTGCCTCCCAGGATCATGCAATTCTTCTGCCTCAGCCTCCTGAGTAGCTGGGATCACAGGCGCCCACATCATGCCTGGCTAATTTTTGGATTTTTAATAGAGACCGGGTTTCACCATGTTGGTCAGCCTGGTCTCAAACTCCTGACCTCAGGTGATCTGCCCACCTAGGCCTCCCAAAGTGCTGGGATTATAGTCATGAGCCACCTCACCCAGCCATAATATTTTTACATAATATTTGCTGGTAGAATTTTCACATGGCATTATGATAGTGCCACTTTCTTCATATATGTGTTTAAGATTGTGTGCTGAAAAATTAATAGCACAAAAAAAATTTTAAATTAGAGAGAGATGACTAATGGGAATCAAGAAAGGAAGGCAGAGCCCCATGCAGACCCTTCTCTCCCTGGGGACAAGAGAGGCCAGGGCCAGGCCTCCTGGGCAGTTGCAGGGTGGCCTTGAACTCCCCTTGTGGGACCTCAGGGTGGCCCCAGTTTTACTCTGCTGGGTGAGGAGCTCCTTCCTGCTGTCTGATGTTCTGGATCTTGAGCTTACACCCAGGCCCAGCAGGGCTGAGTCTCTCTCCCTGCAGCCTCCAAGGCCAGGAGGCCTCGGGCTTCAGTTCTGTCCTCTACTGGATGGCCCTCTGGTCAGGTCCCTGGAAGCGCACGTGGGAAAAAATATGCACCCATGTGCATGTGTGTCCACATATGTGAACACAGGTGTATGCATGTGTGCATGTATACAAGTGTGTAGGGGAACACCTTGTGAGGCCTTCTACAGACCTTTTTCCTAGGAGAAGGCTATATCCCCTAGGGTGTCAGGTGTCCACTCAAGCCCCTCAGGGGAGAAGTGGTTGGGATGCTGGGCAGAACCGCTGTCTCAGATGGGCCCTGAGGCTGTCACAGAGCCAAGCCAGACATCTAGCCTGTGCGGCATCAGCCAATGTCTGGCCAGAGTGGTCCCAGGGAAGTGTGGGGAGGGAGCATTCAGATCCAACCACTTACCTCTTTTTTTTTTTTCCCACGCTGATGCCTTATTTTGCATACTAATTTGAACATAGTGCATTTTTCACATTTTGATCTAGAGATGATCTCAGATAATGATCTGTTTGTGGATATAGGGGTTTACATTGACCTTAATATTTTTCTTTTCTCTAAACATTGCTCCATAATGTGTACATTTCTTCAGGGCGGTGTAGGTCATTCAGAGTCAGGGCCCTGCTAATAATTTAAGACTCTCTAATTATTGCTTATTAACAGAATTTCCAAGATAATCTTTCCAGCACAGAGCATTATGTTACCAGTTTCTTACAAATAGCAGACATTCTGCCTTTTGTCTTCTCCTTCTAACTCAGACTTTCCAAACTAATCATTCTCTCTGAATTGCCCAATCTCCGGACTTCTCACTGAATTACTCTTTTCTAACTTACACCCTTATA